TCAACGGACGCATAGGCGTGAACGCGCGTCGTATTGAAAAGGATGTTGAAACATATTTCCGTACACACACACGTACACACACACACACACACACACACACACCCATACACACACGTGTTCATAACGACGTGATCCTACTTGAACTTTTGGCATATTAAGCCAGTAGTGTTAGAAGTTTAAATCACCCTATCAGTCGCACGGTGTTTCCCTCTCTTTATCGTCGTATCTGATAAAAATACTCGATTCCCGGACACCCGGACCACCGCCACCACTTCCAACACAGCTGTACTGCAGCCGACAATCAGCCTTATTTTTTATCTACCGTACAATATCTTTTCGCCCTAGTGCACAAAACTACGAAAAACTTTTAAATGTGCTCGATATTTTTCACGCATGATTTGTTCTAGTTTCGGCGCTAACGTAAAAAAAAAATGTATATATATAAAAAATAATAATACCAATAAAAGAAGGAAAATAGAAAACAGAACACTACAGAGGAAAAAAAGGAATATAAAGAAAAAAATAACCGTATTATATTGAACACGGACCGTTTCGGTTTACGAACCGTTATAAACGTATGGAAATGTGAGCAACTTTTCAATAGCTACGTAAAAGAGGTTGTTTTCGAAAAATAATAGTTTAATTATTATGATGATTTAACATGAAACTATAAAATATTATTACAGGAGTAGTTCCTGCTTAATTCGTTGGATCACATTAAGAAACATAATTATAATGTCGAATGCGTACTTCTGTGAACATCTCATCAGATTTTTACACTGGATTGATATAATGAATCGATTTTAAAATCAATAGTTATTGATTCTTATTCCAATTATGTTTACTATCTTATATTTATAAATTTTATATTTATTGTTTACAAAATATTTCATAGATTCCTATTTCTTTTCTGTATTATTATTAATATAATATTATAAGCATACAACAACTGATTAAAGACGATGAAAATTGATTTATCGAAAGAAATAGAAAATACTTCATATATTACTTTTTTGGCTTAAGCTTAAGTTTTAGAAAAGCTTATAGTGAAAATTGTGAACATTTAGAAAATTATATTGAAGCAATCCTCACATTTTATATCATTGATTAGACCTAAGGTAACAAATCTTTGCCGAATAATACATAACATAACAACTGCAGTTAATCAAAACAATGATCGTGAACAATTATTTTCGAATTGGTTATCGTATTTCGTGATCCATAATTAATTATTATCCAGATCATGTTATAATTACATAATTTTGTTAGCAATTTAAAGATTCTTTTTAATGTGGAATTAACAATCGGTATCTCTACACAATTTCATTTGTAATAATATATTTATTATAAATACAAAAATATAAGCATATTGTTCTGAAAAATATTCAAAAAAAGGGTAACTTATAAAGGAAATATATTGATTAATTTGTTTGTACGTAATCTGTGCTCAAATAAACATTTTTATGTAAACTATGCCCCTTCTATAATCTAATTAAATATATATATATATATATATATATATATATACTCTGTCCAGCTCCTTGAACCACCAAGAATGTGATTAGTTCAATTCTACAGTATATGTACCATTTCTAAACCAGGAAAGTGTATCTATGTATTTTGAAAAATGATTTAATGATATTTAATGATACCATGGCGTCAGGGAGAAAACTAGTGAGCCCCCAAAAAGAGTCTCATGGCTGTCAACCTGTTAATGATGTAGTTTGTGAATGAAAGAGCGACACAGTTGCAGATTATTTAGTAGATTTAAATACAAGTGCGGATCCATATGAAGTATGGGCATAGGTATTAACAGAGCCAACTTTTCCCATCTATGCACTTCTACTCGTATATAAATCATTATATTTCCATTTAAATTCTTGGCTTTTTATAACTCTTCCAAATATCTTTATGTTTATGAAAAATTTTAAGAAATTTAAATAGAAACATACATTAAATCAATTAGTATAAATGTACTTTTTAAATATAAAAATGTATATACCAAAAAAAAAAAGAGAAAACAATGGAAAATTTAATAAGTAAAATATACTTATTGAAAATTGTTATATAATAAGAGTAAAACATCATTTATGTATCATTATGTATCTACTATATTTTTTTATTTGTTTAAATATTATCCTTTTAAAATTAAATATTTTTCAATTGTATATTTTATTATATTAATTATTTATTCATATTTTAAGGTTGTAATGAATGAATTTGAATATGTTTAAATTTTGTTTATTTGATTTTGCATAAATATTGAGCTATATTTTTTTATTTTACTTGACACAGTTTACAATAGCCTATCCATATACACTTTAATTTTCACTAAATGTATTGTATAAGTTTTCAATAATTAATAATCAACAATTTTATAGATTTAAATATTGTTCTTATAATCTTTGGTCTAACATATACAATCAAATGAAAACAAACAACTTAAGTTGTTATGTAAAATAGAATGATATAAAATACTATATAAATACCATAAATTTTAAATAATTAACACATCATTTGAATGTAGTGGTCATTATTCCAGAAAACATATTTTACAGAGTAGAGTAAACCACAAAATAATCAAACTGCATTTTACTGCATTAGTAAATAATTTAAATAATTGAAAATAAATAAGTTTAAAAAAATAGTATCCAAAGTATTTACTTTTATAAACATTCCCCTTATAAATATCTAAAATTATTCATGCTATGTTATATTCAACCATACACCTATATAAATTTTCAATCAGACTAATAAAAATGTATGATTTTGAAACCAATAGATATTTTAATGCTATTGCATTCGATTTATATTTTATTTTTTGAACAGGAAATCGATAACTATTGACCCAGAACTACGTGATAGGTGGACATTGACATATTACATCAATTCTAGAAGATAAATTATTTTTAATAATTTTATTGAAACTCAATAACAAACCAGAATAGATCACAAGATTTGTTGTTTACTAATATTTGTTTTATACTAGGATATCTATTGGGATTATTGATGTTGAATATTATAACATTAACTGTCATATCGATGGCCAATTGATCATTCAATCTTCAACGTTATCTTATTTTCGTAAAACCAAACACAACTAATTATTAGTCATATTTTAATATCAAATGTAATATTAGAATAACGCTCTATATTAGGGATGGGTAACTGTTGGTTTGCATTTTTTTTTTATTTGTCCCTTACTATATTTTCATATCACCACAAAACCTTTCAGTATTTATCGGTATTTAAATTTATCGCGTTGATCGTAAAGTGCATACATTATATTTTTCTCTTGTATATTAGAAAATTATTTTTAAGTTGTAAATGGTTTTGTCGTAAATTGAATTATATGAAATAAATGCTTATTGTTAATTTTAAAAACATTTTTAATATTTGCTTTCTTTACTCAGGCCCACCAGATTGTACAGATCTATAAATTGACACTTTATTTACTTTGAATCGCCTATCTCTGCTCTATATTATTAGTATAGTTCGTATATGTTGGTTCATATTTAAAAGTATTTAAATAGGTTTATAATTTAAAAACAAAATCAAATATACATAATATGTTTTCAAGAAAAAACGTATATATATATATATATATATAAATATAATTAATTTAATCATCAAATCGATATTTTTATAAACATTTACAGTTTTTATTTCTCGTATATGAATTACATATAATTGTTTAATAACTTATTGTTATATAAAAGATAAATAATCAAACAGCACATATAATTAATCTACAATATTTATAATTTTATTATATTTAAGTTTAAAACCATACATCTCACTTGGAACTCAAACAATGCAATTTTAAATCTTTACATTTTATTATATTATGATAATAAAAAAAATACATAAATAAAATATAATTTTAAATGTATACTTATATAGTTATAACAATATGTGAATTTTTGTTTGTATCTGTATTCAACATTTCAATCAGAAGGATTGTTTCAATCATCGGTTGGTACTTTTAAAAGCGAAAGGTGGTTATTTTACAAATTTTCCAACTTTTTTTTAAAAAAAGGAAAAAAACTGACGTAAATGTATAAAAACAGATGAATTTTACGATATACCAGTTTTCAATAAAATTAAACTCCAGATTTCATTGTAATTTAAAAAATAATAATCATGGAATTTCTCCCGACCTAGGAGTTTCACTTTTTTTTTTTTTTTTGTTAATAATTTTTGTATAAAAATTACTATTTTTTTTCTCTCGAAATATGAAAGGTAGCAGTAATTAATATTCTAACTTGAATGTTTTATTACTTTTATTTACCTTCCAATTTGTTTATTTTAAAACAAAATAATACTTGGAACCGAAAAAATATTAATAAGTTCTAAAATAGCTTTGTTAAAATATAAAAAGTATAATTATCGTTATAATGTATTATAATAATTGCGTATTATGATTGTTGCATTATAGAAGTATGTAGTTTTTGAAAAAAATAAAAAGCTAGAAATATTTTTTTTAAAGATATCTGGTTATATGACATAAACGTACATTAAATACTATATTTACAGATACTATGCGTGTTTGCAGTAATCAATTCGCATCGATATTAGCCTTAAGTTTCTTTAAGACAATTTTTCAGTACCATTGAACAACTATATCAGTGCTCATTAACACGCATAATCGTTCTGCCGCTTCACTGTGGTTCACTCTCTAACGATAAGTAGGTATTGGGATAGGGAGAGGTTATCAGGAGAGGAGATCTACCCCTTATATCTACCCAAATGTTTTTCTGTATTACCACTGCAAATATTAATAGTTGAAATGAAATATTCCTAATTTGAAATGTTATTAAAAATAGTTGGAATTTTTATACTTTAAATCGTATAAAAAATTGTTTATTATTGTTTAAGGTTCTACATATTGAGCAAACACAATGAAATTGATTATTGACCTACAAAACAAATTTCGGTATATGTATATGATGATAATGGCATTGTGTGGTTAGGCCAAAACAACAAGTAGTGCCACTCACCTGACATTCATACGTGCCGTTGTCTCTTTTCTGCACGTATTTTATTTGTAGTGTCCAATCGTCCGATCCCTCGGCGTGCAACACGGTGAACCTCTCGTCATTTGTGTACGTGAACATGCCGGAAGTCAAAATGTGCCAGTCCCGGCGACGAACCCATGATATCTGAAATAACGGTTAAGATAAGACAATTCCATTAGATTAGATATGCGTGATTCATTATAATAATCACACTCGCGTTGTGGAACAATGGCATTTCAAGTCCTGCAGGGAGGCCTGTGTGAAAATACTTATAGTAGGTATCTTCGAAAAAAAAAAATCGATTTGAGTTTAGGAGTATTAATATTTGGTCTGGAATTTCGGCAAGTACTAATGAGTAATGTAGATAATAATGGATACATTTTAAGACAGTAAATGAATCATTGTTCATTATTTTACTATAAAATATTTTTGATACAGTCGTAATGTATTATTATGAACCATCACTGAATTTTATTTTTCGAAACCAAGTACTAGATCTACTTCATTAATCTTTTCAATAGTACGTGGAAAAAAAATTGTAATTGAAAATGTATTATTTCGATTAGAAATCAACATTAACAAAAATATTCTCAATTTATTTCTAAATGTAATTAACTAGTGATGTGTTTATAATATTTGATTTATGATGTCTTAAGGTTATTGCCATGTGGGAAATTTCGTAACACATTTTAAGATTTATTTCGTATCGTGCAAAACTAGGCACGATAATTAAATTATTGTAATTTAAAAAAGTGTTTTTAAGCATTACACTCGTTTAAAATTCAGTTATTATTAAACATGAATTCAATTAATAACATTAATAACCATATCTGTTTTCACATTATTGTTGATAATCAGAGCAACACACAAAAACAACAGTGTATAAAACCAAGTTCAGTACGGGCTATTTGAGATATCTATTAGTTACCTGGATAATGGAGCATAAGTTTGACGAGAACACGTTCTATTTTACTTTGTGTTTTACGCAATATTGATCAAAAATTTCGTAATACTAATATTTTTGAGGGCATGCAACATTATTTTAGAGTTTTATGTATGAGAACAGACACATTAAACTAATAAGACTGATAATTAGCTACCTATATCGGTTATTTAACGGTGTAAAAAATTTTATCAGATATATTTTATTGTATTTTTCGGAAAAAACAAGGGTGTGCCATATTACCGTTGATGTTGATACGTACTACTCTTTAATTTTCTATAGAAAATCAAATCACCAGTACTGTTTTAAAGTCAATGTTGAAATGAGTGAAACATAAATGTAAACTGCACATTATACATATTGAACATAACACAATACAATGTAATTTTTTTCTATACATAAATATTTAAATATAAGATTTAAAAATTAGGATAATGTTAGTGAGGTGATCAGCCGTTGATGTCACTTACTGACTACAGTTAGCACTTCAAACGTGATCCAAACAAAAACATAGATGGTCGATTCATCTTTAGTGTTAATTATGCTGTATCTGCTTTAATGTTTTACATAATATGTTTTGGTATAACTTGTCAGTAGCTTAGGCAACACAACCTAGGTAATCCACTAATAACTAATTTGATAAACACATTCGATAATGAGCAAAAAAAGTTTACATTTCTATAGTGTCCAAGAAAAATGTTTTGTAAAAACCACATTATTTTCCATACATTTTAGAACTTATTTAGCATGTATTTATTCGTTACTCTATTTTAAATTATAAAGTATTATTCCATCAACGGTATATTCAAGTATCCATTAATTATATTTTTAATGAAAAGTAAATAATAAATGTATTATCAATGCAGATGATTTAATGCTATAATATGCATGTAACGTATTTTTTTATTTTTATTTACGGCACTTGTTATCCTTTTTAATCACCGTTCATTGTACATTTCGAGAACGAATCTCATCAATATATTCAATAGGCACAAATAACAAAATTAAAAAAATAATGCACTAATGGATTGTTAAAAAAAAATTGATTTTCAATAATATGATAATATAAAAAATAAAAAATAATTAAAATCTAAAAATAATGACCGATAATATAACTGAGAGTTGATTAAAACATGATAATAAAAAAAAAAAAAAAAACGAGGAAAATACACAACGTCTATGTATATTGGTTTTTTTTCATTGGTTATAAATAAGTTTGAATATATAGTTTATAATATGTACATGTATAAATATGATCCATCAGATTTATAAGTTTAAAAAATAAAGTCTTTTATTTGTAAGAAACAAGTGTAAACGTATTTAAATTTATTTTATCCCTAGTGCCAACTTCAAATGATTATAAAAACAGTATACACATTTTTTATAAAATTTTAATTTTTTCACATCACCGGTTTTAATAGTTATTATCAGTTTATATTTTAAATGATTCATATCTTCACAATTCTCTTCTGATTATATCAATAAACTTATTGGCATTTGAATACTTTTTTTTTTTTAAGTAACAATTTTAAAAGAGAAGAAATAGGTAGCTCTAAAAATGTAATGTAAATAGATTAAATTGATTAAATGTTTGGAATGTATTAAAAAATATAAACAAACATTAAAATTTATGATTTTTAACAATATAATTTTTGATTGAAATATAATATTGAAAAATAAATAAACAACATTCAAAATTAGATAAATTATTCTTGCCCAATTCTTTAAGTATTAATCTCTGTTTACTGTTCAGAACAATAAGATAAACACTTGATAATCAATATTTTCCATTATTAATTATTCTATATTATAACAAAGGAAAATTAAAAAAATAAATCAAAAATATTTTATTTACATCTCTGATTTGTGCTCAAATTCGCTTTTCTTATAATTATTTTCACATAGAATTTATTACAATAATAAAGTAGGTCCACGGCATCTACAGTTTAATTGTTTGCCTGTTTTTATCTATCTGAACTAGTGATAATCAAAACAAGACTAAGACAAGACTTTCAAAATTTTGATCTAAGTCTTGGTCTTGGTTTTGCGACTCTTGTTATTTTCACAAAATATATATATAAAAAAAAAAAATATATCAACCTGTTATAGCTGTGTAGGTTTTTTGTTATGACTTCTAAGATGAAACTTAAGTACAATATATTATATTGTATATTAATAATATAAAACAACCAAACAATTTAATTTTAATTATAGGTGCTCGTTTAAAACTGCGTTTTAAAATATTATATTTATATTATTATACCTGTATTTATATTTGATGAATCAATTTACCAGCATACTTTGTATTTCATGTTATATCTTTTAATTCATCCACACTCTTGCTCGGTCCATTATATCTTCAATGTCACTAATTTTAAAGGTATCGTAACAACAACTAACAAGGCGTACTAAGAGACTACAAGTTTACGACATTAATGAAATTATATGCTGTATAAGACACTAGTTTAAGTATACTATGCCTAGTACGAAAAAATCACACAAACTACGAACGAAAATAAAAACGTACTTCTAATCAAAATGATATCTACCGTAGTCTGTAATGACTTCCGGCATTTATTAGTATATTCGATTTCGAAAAACCCTTTCGGTCCTTTTTGTCCTTTCGGTCCAGTTGGTGTATTATGGACATAAATCATAAATTATTCTATTTCTCAAGAGTCCACTTTCTCTACTCCTGCAATTTTTTGTTTACGGTACTAGTGGTTTAATTTTACTTAATATTAGGTACAATGCGTGACACGACCCGTTACGGAATGTGGTTGGGAGCGCCCTTTATAACCGTCGTTACCATCGTAAACCATCACGGGTATCATTATGGAATCAAAGCGATTTATGCGATAAAACGGTAACTATATGCATATATATAAATTAATATATCTACAGTAAACATATACAACTATATTCTTGTTTTTTTGCCTTTAGTTCTTTTTTTTTGTTTTTTTTTTTTTGCTTTTTTTGCTTTTTTTACCCGGATCGTGTATCGCCGAACTTCTTTTGGATTAATATGAATATTTTAATGCGACCTCGTCACGAATATACGTTGAACATTAACATTAGGCACGCGCGTGTTGACCTAATGTTATTCGCTTATTCGGTGGGTCTATGTTTCAATACATTGCCACCATAACGAAAAATCAGCAGATAATGTTATACCGTTCAAGAAATTTCCGTTAGAAGCATGCTGTAAATAACAAAATAAAATATGAGTAAAATTTACATTTTATAAATAAATAAAAGCAAATATATTATAATCACTGTTAACTCGTTATAATTACAGTATAAAACCAATGCGGTGTTGAAAGGTTGTTGAAATAAAAATATATTTATGTATATGAATATGTAAAGTGGGTGGACAAATACAGACATTTTATGTTGATAAGTTGAAACCAAAATATTATTGCAGGCCAGAAACAATCGAAAATAGCTTTTTTATTTGTTCAAGGCTATTATTATTTATTGGACCTTTTTTTTTTTTTTTGATAAAATTAACAATAAGTTATAGTTATTAATAGCTGTAATCTAAATCCTTCGATTATTAAATAAGTATGTTGTATACAGTCGTTACAGTAAGTATGTTATATATTTTATCAACTGTAAAAAGTGATTTACAATTTTGATGATCATAATGCTGCGTAATATGTTTGGGAACATAGGTTATTGTAATACGATGTAGTTAGATTATAACAAACAAACAATTGTCTCCTGCTCATGGTACCTAGTTGTCTGCATCAGTAATGCATGCCACGGGGATTTGATCCCCAAAAAAAATAATAATATAACACCAAATGACAAAGTTAAGTATTATGTATATTATTTTATACAATTTTATATTTATATTTTATATTTTATACAATTCTAATTTTGTATTTTTATTTTTATTTTGGTTAAGATAAATTAAATTAAAAATACATTAAAATTTCCTAAAATTAATGATTGAATTTATACAATAACAACTTTTGTGTATATTAAGCAAGTATTTATTATACGCTTACATAATTTTGGTAGAATGAATAAATTAATTAATTTGAGGGTCTTGGATTAAAAAAGGTTGCACACCGATTATCTACAAGGATGGAAATCGTCGGTTGATTACTATTCGGTGGTATATTTTTTATTTTATTTATTTATTTATTTTTTTACAATGGTTTTGGAATACATAAAAAATATTGATGTCATTAGC